CTCCGGAGGCGCCTTTGCACGGTCCACGAAGGAGTCCAAGTCTCGCGAGGGAACCGTCCAAGCTGCGCAGGCTAGGGCTCCGGCTGCGGCAGCCGGAGGGCTCCGTTTTGCCCCGTGAGGCGGTTGAAGTTTGCGAGATGATCCTCTCCAACCGCAAACTCGTGGCTCAGAGGAATCCGGCCCTCTCCCCAGCTTTTCGCTGCCTCGATGAATCAGCATCCAGTACGTCGTACGTAGAGTAGAGAGTTTGGATGGGCTGACTCGGAGGTGAAGCGGCGCATGATGAGGGATTTGGCGATGCTGTCGCTTTCTGTAGGCCTGTGAATTGCCTCAGCAAACTAAGACACGTACAGAGGAGACGCGGAGCAGGAGAAGACAAACGAATCACATGGCGTCAATGTTGCTTCCAAAACGAATCGCATGGCGTCAATGTTGCTTCCATATCCATTTTGCAGGTTTCGAGGCACGCCTGTGGAGAGTGCAAAGCTAAGCGACATCTTCCATGTCACTGAGCTCGGCACTTTCCTTGACTTCAGGTCGTGTTCAAGCACCTTCGCAACATTTGCGACCGGAGTGGAAGCGATCATGTCGTTGCTTTGTGCTCCAGACTGCTGCCTGCAACCCAGAGCGAGCTGCCCGAAAACCGAATGGAAGTGAATGTTCTGAGTGGTGGCAGTTGCGATGCGCCCACTTGCGTCCCAGGTTCACACATGCAGATGTGGATGGAATGGGCCCAGGAGCAAACAAGGCAAGGACCACTCGAAGGCGTCAATCTCATGCACCTGCCTGTCTATGAGTCGAGGACCGCGGTGATGCGGCCCCGTGGGAGCATGAAAAAGCACACAATGCAAGCTGGGGGCACCGTCCAACCGGCTTGCTTTGCAGCACTTCATGTAAGCGGATTGTCAGTGGGCGAATGCACTTTCGACATTCTGGGGATGGGCCGGTGCATGCTTGCACGAAACAGGCAACACATATGCTGCGGCGTTTACTGATGTCCGCGGCTGGGCACTGCGGAAGCTGCTGAGAAGGCATGCTGGAGTCCATGTGACACCAAACGGACCATGAGTTTAGTGGAGAAGCCCAGACGGCACTTTTAAACTTTGGTGTTTCCCACGCTCTCCTGTTGAAATCCTGGATACAGGCCCCGCGCATTCGGACTTACTTTGCTGTGCGCGCACTTCTGCATCATCGCTTCGCAGTGCCGCTCTGAATGCCTTGCAAGACAAGTCTCGCAGCAGCTTGATATGAGTTCTGTTGGGTGCAAACTCCAGTCTGCCCATGGCGCAATCGGACCATGCAAAGAAACCGTTGTGACGGACCGTGCAACTGGGACGCATGTGTTTGAGAGACTTGAATCAACTAGTTTATCACTGCGCTCTACAACAACAGACTGTACTCGAACAGAATGCCACAGCACCGACATCATGAGCAGTAGGTACCCCTTTGCCGTGGCCGAGTACTCTCGAGCGCATCGTTTGGCGCCTTTTGTCCAATTCTTGGATGCATTGCATGATGCAAGCTTGCCTACAGACACTGGTGAGTCGTGAGGAACCACTGCCAGCTCTTTGCACTGCTACAGACATCACCTCAGTCCTGACAGATGAAGTTGGCTGCTCACCGTCCGATCTAGAATCTATAGCTCGGAATGTAGAGCTCGTCTCGAGGCATCTCGAGGCTAACAGCACAGTTCCAGGTAGACATCGGCCACGGTAAGATGTCGTAGCTTGAGCACAAGATACAGGGAGCTTGCTGTGAACTTGCTTGATCTTTCAAGGCATACCTCTCCTTCTCAATGTCCCGTGCTGCTGTGTGCCGCCCTGCCCCAAGTCGATTTCGACACGACATAGCCGACACAAGAAACGATCCATGACACCTATCTGTTAAGCTCTCACGGCCACCCGTGCCGCTCAAGCAGCCTTTCTTAGTGGTTAGTGCGAAGAAGCAGGCATTTGACCAGGCATTTGACCAGGGATCGGCTGCAGCCGATCCACGTCCATTAAGAAACACAGAGGGACACCGGATACCTGGTTTGCCTCGGGACAAGTCACCAAGGTCATGATCTTGTTCTGAAAGGCCTTACCTTCCTGCAACGCTACCGCCGTTTGCGGCTTCGTAGCGCAGGCACCCGTCAGCCCGTCAGTTGCTTTCGAAGACCGAGCTTCTTCAGTATCTGTGTCGCGAGGTTTGCTTCCGCTCGACACATCACAGGAGGACTCCAAGTGTCTTTACTTTGATGTCCTGGTGCTGGCGACTGCTGCCTGCTAAAAAACCTCGACAGCCTGAATTGGACTTGGACCACCGCGACATTTTCGGATCTGACAACTGCATAGAGCAGGATCCTTCCAGCTGGGATGGGCTGCCCAAAGAGCAGCGTGCCCATTGTGAGGCGATGAAGTGCAGCGAGATTGTACAAAAATGAGGCGGCAAACGTGGGAAGATGCAGTGACGGACGACCCGTCATCCTGGTCGTGTTTCGTCAGAAGCAAGCAAAGGGGCTTTGAGGGTTGCTGTGCTGAGGGCATGAGGGCATGCGGATTTACTCGCAGTGGCTTGCGCGAGCAAAGGCATGCCTGATCTGAGCAGGTTCTCGATTCGTGGTTCCGCATGCTTTGCAACCTGACCACCCGGCCAGGCTGGAACGCTTGGCCATGCAGGCTGAGGTCGCCTACAACTACGGCGGAGGACTCAAGCGCTTTGCTCGAAGAGCCGGGGCTTCGCCCTTCTCCGAGGCCGAGCCTTTCATCAGCTGAGTATCTTCAATCCAGCAGTCGAGGCCGACGGCCGACGCGCTTGGAGTGAGAGTTGGGAACTTTCGCAGTCGAGGCTTACGAGGCTGCGCTGGATCTCTTCGAAAGCCATAGCCTTAGGATGGCAAATCAGCACTGGAGAGCCAGCAGACTGGTAGGCCCTTCCCTGTGCGATGTTATGGAGCACCAGGTCTGTCACAGTCCGAATGCAAGAGGACCGAGCAGCATTCACTTTTTTTCTCCCACAACAGACTTAGTGTGCATGTCTCTTGCCTGAGCTTTGGAACTTACCTGCTCCGACTCCATGTAGGCCGGATTGGTCAGGCATCTTTTTCCATTCATTGGGTTCAGGTGTGTTTTCAGGGGAGAGGGCCCGAGTAAAGATTAGGATCCAACACATAAAAGATCAAGAACTAACCTTGTGACGACGTGCTGCGGGACGGGGGATGACCCAAACACTGGCATGCGCAGTGCTGTGCACTTTTTGCACTTCGGAAATTGAACCAGGTCTGCAGACTGATGACTTGTTCCGACATTGAACTTGTCACACCACAGTCGGCACCCCAAATTCCAAGCAACCTCTCTCGAGGGATGGTTCTTTACCTGATAACAACCTCCTTACACAAAATGCATTGAAACACTCCTGCTATGCGGTTCTGATCCTTCACACTGTTTTTCGATACCCTATCACGTACCGGAATTTGCACAAGATCCTACAACCATAGCAAGATTTATTATTGATGCCACTTGGTTTGTCGTTAGTAATGGTTTCTGTTGATGATCCACCCTTCTTTTCAGCAGCTTGAGATTCAGGGTTTGATGCTCTGATGGGTTTCTTTACCAAATATTACCAAATCCACAGCAATCGCAGGTGCTGCGTATCCGAAACTGCAGCTGAAGCTTGATCGAAAGTTATCGCAGCAGTCATGTGGACCGGGTGATTGACCAGGACAGATTTGGTGGTAATCCGGAGATCAGCAGCGTGGAATTTGGCCTACCTTTACAAGGCCAGTTCAAAGAAGCCAGATGTATTCGACGGTGTGCCCGGCATTGGCCCTCGCACCTACTCGCACGTGCACATATGATAACACGTGCGGCAAACCGGGGTACATTTACACACCCATCTCTAATTTTCGCGGGCTGAACACACAATTGCACGACGAAGTGCTGTCAACTTAGACAAGGACCCGCAGCCTAGAACCGTGCACACCGTTGTAGGGTGATCGACGGTGACTGCATGTTGCACACGTGGATGTGGAGCAAGAATCAAAGGCTTCGCGTTGAATTGCGTGATGTTGGATGCGGAACAAAGGCTGATTCCCATGTCAGGTAAACGGGACAATCAAGGTGCACGCACACACACACACACCTGCACGCACGAAAAAGAAAACGAAACCCGGTCTGTCCCTGTCTACGATATTCAGCATCATACACAACAGTTCGTGCCTGTAAAACTCTGCTTGGCGCCAGGCCCAGGGCAGCTTGGAGATGGCAGCCGACGTTATTTGGCGCCACATCCTTTGGTGACTCCTTCGGCTACCGACTTGTGGACTACGTGCAGCCATGCAGCCATGCAGCAGCCATGCAGCTCCCTGTAGATGTCTGCATCGCGGCGTCAGAAGGTGACGAGACCGAGATCACTCGAGTCACCAACCAGGGCTTGGAGCTCTTGACGAACAGCGCTCTGTGATCTGCGGTGTCCGCTGTGAAGCACCCAGCTCGAAGAGGAAGATCTGCGCTCAAAAGGAGTGTCAACAAAAAGGCTTTTTGGAGCTCGGCGTGCCGTTCTGAATGAGATCTCCCTGCACGGACTGTATGCATTCTTCCGTCGGCCCACGACGTCAACGACCTCTTGCAACTTGTCGTTTCTCAAGTTGTTGTTTCCATTGCAGGTCTGAAACACCTCAGTGGATTCATCGTTTCTCCAGTTGGAGCCTGGTCGCGCGAGCAACGCAGCAAAATCGTACTCGCAGCGACCCTGCCGCTTTTGTCCTTGGTTGGTGGCCTGTAGGAGACGAGGCCTTACGATCAGTGGAGCTGTCTGCTGCAGTCGTGCTTTGAGTCAGGTCCTTGGTCCAAGTATTGTCCCTGTCGGTGGTTTGCGTCCTGTAAAGCTGGATCGCCTCCGATGGACTCCTCCAATGCGGTTCAAGCGTTGTCGCATACAACAGATCAGGCAGGCTGCCAGACAATGCAGAACCACGCTAGGCTGTGGTGTTTAGGGGCAGTGTGTGAGAGCATCCTCTGGCTATGAAGCGTGGCCGGGAGGGCCCCAGCCTCAAAGAATTGTCTCGGAAAGTTTCTAGCTGGTTGGCTCCTCAGCAGGTAGAGGTTCGGGGCCTCCAGCAAAACGCGGCAGAGGGCCGCCCGTGGGCGTAGGACGCTCCGCATTCAAGGCTCGTTTGCCCTGCCACGCCCAAGAAGGCACGTTCTGTGCTTTGCAGGTCCTTTGCCCAGATCGGCTCGTGGCGGCTGTCTTGGGATCAAGCGGGCAGACCGCTTGAACCTCGGAGAGCTCTCGCTTTCAGAGCCGCGCTCGCCTCGAGCCCGACTGGCCGCCTTCCCGAGGTCGCGAAGATCCAAGAACATTCAGGCGCCCACCCAACCACCGTCACCGTCAGCGCTTCAAGGCTTCGCATGGCTTCGCGCACGAGCTTCCGAAGGTTGCCACTGCAACTTCTCGCGGCGAAATGAGCTGGAGCTCGAGACTGCTTGCTGTGCACTAGCCATCATCCTGCGCTTGCGTGCATCCAGGTTCTTCCCAGACACCAATCTGCGCCTGCTGGTCATCTCAGGCTGACTGCACTTGGCTTGGCGTGGGGACTTGTCGCAGCCGATGTGGGCCTCGCCGACCGCAGCGCAGGCCCCGGCCCGGCAGAAATCGTCGCTTGCTTGGAGCTGTTGCTCGAACAGGCGGAGACGTTAAGCACGAGCCGAGAAGGATTGGGAATGAAACTGCACCGAGAGCGGTTGCTATGGTCCTTGTCGTAGCCGACCTCGCAGCAGTAGCAGTAGCAGTCGCAGTCGCAGTCGCAGTCGCAGTCGCAGTCGCAGTCGCAGTCGCAGTAGCAGTAGCAGTAGCAGTAGCAGTAGCAGTAGCAGTGTAGTAGTAGTAGCAGTAGTAGGAGTACTAGTAGTAGTAGCAGCAGCAGCAGCAGTAGTAGTAGTAGCAGTAGTAGTAGTAGTAGCAGTAGAAGAAGAAAAAGTAGTAGTAGTAGTAGTAGTAGTAGTACAAGATGATCACTCGGCCGGCTCCAATGAACCGAGGCCCGCTCAGACAAGCCCTGAATCCCAGCCTGTCAAGCCGAAATCACAATTGTTCACCCCTTACGCCTTAGGCAGATTAAGTAATTATAGACACAACATGCACTAACATGAGGCAAAGGCACACGATCAGTCGAGTAGGCCACACCCTTCGTTGCGCAAGAAGGCATGGTGACCTGCTCCTTTCGTCGCAGAACTGCTGAAGGCATCTGTCTGCTGTGAAAATCCGTAGACCTTGCGACATGACTTGCTAAAACCAAAACCCGATATGAAGTCCAGACCGACTAAAGTCACAATCCCCATAATTCGTTGACTTGGGGTGCAGTGTATAAACCTCCGAGTCTACGCCTAGCTTTGCTACGGCTGGTTGTGAAAGCGACGATAATGGTGGTGACGATCATGATGATGTTGGTAAGGATAGTGGTGATGAAGAAAATGATGATAACACGGGTGTCATATGAATGGGGTAGAGATGGCGAAGATGATGCTTACAATGACGATGTTGGTGACGGTGGCAGTGGCAAACAGAGAACACTACGATAACAGTGGCGGCTGTGTTGATGGTATGGTACTGGTGGCTCGTTTAAAATGCACAATCTCAACAAGCATCTCGTGATGACTGCGTCATTCCACTCCATATGTTTGGTTTTATCTGCAGGAACTCCAAAACGATCAGCCACACACACACACACGCACACTTTTTCAAACTATCACATTAATGTGGAAAGCCTTGAAGAGAAATATATATATATATATAATCTCTAGCTTTATCGCCAGTGTGCTCAGAAGCGCGAAGATCTGTTAGCCTGGAAAGTGTAGAGTTCAACTCGCGGTAACTACCTCCCACTGCTCAAAAGTCACAAATGCGAAGCACCAAATCCTACTGTCCGTTAGCCTTGAGCATTAAATACAGTAGCTTCAGACCTCATGTTGCAAGTCTCGTGCAAATCCATAGCTACCCGTGACCTCTCGTGCTGTTTCAGCCCATACTGCCAGTGAACCGGAAATGCTACAGAAGTCCCTGCAGCTGCCGTCCATGTTCAATTGGAGTAATGCAGAAACTTCGAATTCTTGAAACCCACATGCCAGACATTCTACACTCGTCCTGAAGATCTGCCGCAGCAGAGGGGAATGCTATGAAGCCCAAGCACTCTGGAGCCAATTTTACACAAGCCTAGAGCAGAAATCAAAAAGAAGGAGCCATCTGTCTCATTCCTTTCTGACTTTTCTCCATGCTCCAAGATTAGGGTCTCCACCCCACTACCCTAAACTCCTATCGCTACTTGCCACCACGGGAAAAAAAAAACTGTAGGCCAAGCGAGGCGCAGCAGCAGCACCGCGCAGGGCCAAAAGGATGCAAGCACCACGAATCATTGCTTGCCTCTCCGAGTGGGAAGGGGGGTGAGGCAACTGAACTGCTCTATGGTGCTGTCTGTTGATACACACATGCTAGGTAAATGTGGATGAAAAATGTGAAGCACCTGACTGCAACTCTTGGCATCGCGCAGAAGTTCGATATGGACGCGGGGAGGCAAGGGGCTTGGAAGGGTAAGTGTAGGGCGTGAGAGCCGCCAACAAAAAAACACGAGCCGCACATCTCTCCAACAACCAAGGCCCACGCTTGATCAGCAACAGCGGCAGGGCGCAAGAGACAGGAAGGCAGTATAGGGAGAGACAGCGGGCACGGTGTCACAGAGATGAAGCTGCAGCAAGGGGGAGAACGATCGGAGAGACGGGGAGAGAGAGCGAGAGGCCGAAGGTGACGGCAGCAACTCTTTGCGTCAATCAAATGCGGATTCCAACAGTCAAAGAAGAGCTCACCTGTGAGGAGAAGGAAGAGCGGACGAAATCTTCCCGCCTGGAATTGAGGGAAGCAACTGCGAGGAAGCCGGGTGTAGCTTTGAGCTGAACAGCTGAGACTGCTGCAGGAGCCAACAGAAACGTTTCGATGCTTGGCACTTAAATGGCTGCTTGCGGCACTGACCTGGCATGACTGCCAACGTCTAAACGACCTACCTACCACAGCTAGGATTGAGGCTGCAGGAGAATGAAATGCAGCACTTGCACGAAAGGCATCACTCACATCACAAGAGTGCGAAAGAAGCCCAGTACCTTGCTCTATCATGACAACCACATCGGGAGCCTAAGGCTGGATGCATACGTGCTGACGCTTGCGCACTCTAGTTCTGATAAATGCTTCTACATCTGCTGGTTGGGACTCCGGGATTAGCCGCGTCTTCCGCCTCCTCCTTATCAGCGCTCCCTTTTCTGACCGGCACGGCTTAAAATTATGAACAACTCGGAGTCGGGAGCTGCCGGAGAGGTATTGAGGCTCCCTCTCCCGGTCGTGTCCCACTCGAGTTTCTCTCGCAGGTCCCTTGACTCTCCAAGCGGCCAGGCGCGGGGTTCAAAAGCATCTTGCGATCAGAAATCAGAAAGGACCTGCCTGTGAAACAATCACATAAACACGACTTGTACGTCGAGATGTCATGGATGGCTTCGCCTTTCACGGAGACTGTGAGTTCGATCCTTCGAACACCAGTATACCGTGCAATGGGATATCGTACTATACATCTAGGTCCAGGTCTCCGCACTGGAAAACTTTGGAATACCCGGTAAAACATTGTAACAGTGATGTTTTCAAGGATCCGCATCCTACAGTAGCCTGGGTTAAAGTGTCTATAGTGTCGGGGCTCATTTTCTACTGCAATCTTGGAGCCTTCCCGGCTCCTAGCACTTCAGAAGCTCTTCCTGCCAAGGCAGATCCGATGATCGTCCTCCGAACTCCGGAGCCCACAGAAACGAGGACTTTGGGGATCTGCTCCAACTGTTCTCAAACCTTCTGGAATTGGGGCTTGATGAGCCCAAGAAGTCAGGAATCTCTGGAAACGCGTGCTATGGAGTCGTATAGATACGTATACTGAACATGGATGTTCGAAAAAAGGGCTTGATGGAATTCTGGCAGGCACCGTTAAAGATGGGCCCGAACTTTCAGCAAGTCCTGCTGGGCGTCGAACTGCGGCGGCTACCGTGGCGATGCCAGTAATCTCACCGAGGCCTGCCGGACGCGGCGAAGAACATGAACCGCATTTATGTAGAATATGTTTACTAACCTTGTTGCTCAGATGAGTAGTGAAACAAAGGTCACGGGCCGCGGGGCTGAGCGTTTAACGGTTTCGGCTCGCAGACTCGCACGAAGGCAGGCATGGCAGCGAAGTTTGACGGTTTAGGTATCCGGGTAAAGGATGGTTTGACCGGCTTTTGCGAAGGCTGGGATGGCGCAAAAGGCCAGCGCAGGTTGAGGGGGGGGCCTTAGGCATTTCGGTGTGTGGCGGAGTCAGTGCAGGGTGTCAGTCAGAACTGGGCAAGGGCGCAATGTGTGGGGGTTGGGCACGGGGCTCCAGGCAAGAATGGTTGCTGAAGCCCTGCCTGAAATCGCGAGCTTCCCTATGAAAAGCTTCGACTACAAGCAACCGCGGCGTGCGACCCCCAAGCAAAGAGGAAGCGCATGCAAGCTACTCCGTGAGTCTCCCGCACCCCGAGGCTCAGAAGACTATCCCCCGCCTTTTCTTAAGCACATAGATTTCCTGCCATCCCAAACATAACCCCAAACCCGAAGCCCCTAAGCCCTATCATAAAGCTCCGAAGCCCAAAGCCTGGTCCGCTTGAGGAACCGTCTGATAGGTCACAGCCTTGCAGCACGGGGCTGACTTCACTTACGCCGCTCTGGCTCTGACTGCACCCCCTAGGCCGTAAACCATAAACCGGAAAATCACCAACAGTATGACACTAGACATGTTAGCATGTGATTGTGCATGGTGCTGCAGCGACTGCAGTGAGATCATAATGTGATGGTCCGTGCTCTAGCAGGTGGAAACATATTACATTATTACATCCATCCGTCCGTCCGTCCGTCCATCCATCCATCTATCCATCCATCCATTCATCTACACATGCCCACCTACCCACCTACCTACTTAGCTACTTACCCTCTGCCTACCTACCTGCCTGCTTGCACACGCGGGTACATACATACATACAGACAGACAGACAGACAGATAGACAAACAGACAGCCAGGCAGACAGACAGACAGACACACAGACAAACAGACGGACGGACGGACGGACAGACGGACGAACAGACATACACATACCCACATACATACACACAGATACAGACATATGCAGGTATGTATGTATATGTAAGTGTACTGTAAGTATGCATGTATGGAAGTGCATCGGTATGCATGCATGTACGTTTGTATATACATGAAAGTAAGCATGCATGTACATATGTGTGTGTGTGTGTGCATGTACGCATGCTTGTGCAGGTATGCATGGCTGTACATGTTTGTACGTGTTGCACGGTACATGTATGTACACCTGCTTGCGTTTGTACGTACACGTATGTACACGTGCATGCAGGTACATAAATGTATATGCAACTACATGTCCACAACTTCGATAAGTATGCATGCTCGTTTGCATGTAGGGATATATGCAGGTATGCATGCATGTACGCATGTACGGATGTTCGGATGTATGGGTGCGTGGGTGTAGGTTTGTGTGTGTCCCTATGTAGTATGTATGTATGTATGTATGTATGTATGTATGTATGTATGCATGCAGGGACATTCGTGTTTGTGATTCGTGGGTGCCCTTTCATACACCCATGTTTTCCTTGTGCAGTAAAGTACACCATCGGCATGGGACCTGGCAGATTGGGG